CTATGGATTTCTATGGATTGAGCTGTTCTGGACATTCCATATAAATGAAATCTTAAAATTCTTTTGGTGGCCTTTTGTAAAAGGCTCCTTTCACTTAGCATAAGATTTCTTCAAGTTTCAACCACATTAGGCGTATTATCAGTACTTCACTCCGTTTTATGGTTAGGTAATATTCCATTGGATAGGTAGTCCAAATTTTGTATATCTATTCATCAACTGAAAGACATCTGGGTTGTTTCCACGTTTTGGCTATTATAAATAATGCTGCCAGGAACATTCATGTTTTCCCTGACTTTTGTCACTCTCCACAATGACGATGAGAATAGTACCTATCTCATAGGACTCTTAGGACTAAATGAGAATTAAACATTTAGAATAGTGCTTGGAACATGGTCCAAGTTCAAGAAATCCTTGTTATTATTGTTTTATTATTTTTTGATACATTAGAACTCAAAAAGTATCAGGAGTCAGTTTGCATCAGGGTGGATAATTTTATAGACCTCAGTAATTGTATCACTTCAATAATCAATGTAAGAAATAGTGACCCTGAATCATAAGTGAAAGTTTAACAGTGAAACTGTGGTATTTTCTGGGTAAGAGGGCAGGAATAATTATGATCCCACATTGATGCATTTCCATCAAAACTTAGCATTATGTATTGGAAATAAGTATGGCCTTACAAGGACCTGCCACAGAGTATCTTTTTAAAACTAATGACCTATGAGTTTGCAGAGGATAAGTCAGCTAGTAAGGGCCTCTGAGGGCTATTTCTCACGCAGTAGAATCATGTGGGGATAGTGGTGGTGGGCGGGGGGCGGGGGGTCTGTGAACAAAGAAGAGCATGGCAGCATGTCTGAGCCCAGCAGATTTGCATGGAAGCAGGAAGACCAGAATGGATACTTGTGCTGGAATTGAGTTACCCTTGCGAGGTGGCTGGGCTGATGAAGAAGCAACAATGTACCTGCAAGTCATCTGTATGAAAAATTGATAGCAAATTAGAAGAGACTGAAGATTCAGAACAAACGGTGTGAGCTCCGGTGAAGGGAAGGGTGGTGATGCCATGGCGGGTGATTGGAGAGCTGGGAAGGCAGCTGCCTGAGTGAGGGCGCAAGGGACTGCTTTGACACACCGAAGTCAGGTGTGTCGTGTCACTTCTATGTTCAGATGGGCTTTCTCTTCTATTAGGAAGGAAAGGAAATACAGCAACGCTCTAGGTTGCTTTCTCAATGTCTATTCTCATTTTTTTCTGCTGTAAGAGTAGGAATGGGTTAAGATATGCTACAGTAACAATTCCAAAATCTCAGTGATATAACCACAAAAGTTTATATCTCATCTGTGCTAAGAGTGCACTTCTGCTTGGTTGGGTCCATACTCCTGCATCTTTATCTTTTCTCACCCCAGGAGGCAGGCAGATGGAGCCGTTTCTGACTGCAATGGTGCTGGTGCCTATGATAGAGAGGATATTAGCAAAGCAAAGCAAGGACTGGCTCTTAAAGCCTCTACTATCATTTTATTGGCCCAAGTAGGTCATATGGCCAAGACTGACTTCAGTGGGTGGTGGGGATGGGGTTATGGGTGGGAGGAAGGGGAGTATAATTCTCTCTTGGTGAAGGAAAGCAGATACTGGGGAAAGATAACACAGTCTATAATCTTTGCTAATTGAACTCCAGCTTTTTGTTTCGTTTCGTTTTTCTGGTATGAACCTGTGGTCTAAATCAATCATGGCCAACAGTTGGCTGGTAACAGCTTTAAGTGTGAATGGGCATCATGGGCATGTGTCCCAATTCTGGCCAACGAAACATGAAGATCCCCTGGCTGGGGGACTTGTAGGAGAAGTTTCTTCACTTACAGAATGTGACTCAAGGAAGGGATATTTTTTTCTGCCTCTGAACATGATATTGGTAACTGCTGTATCTGCATCACATCCAGCCTGAGGAGGAAACCTCATGGTGAACTTGGCAGAGCAGACAGACAGAACCTAGGTCTATTGAGGACATGCTTGAACTACTGAATGAACCAACACCAAGGTCACTCTATCTGCAGACTTCTGTTATATGAGATAATACATCTCCTTCTTGTTTAAGTGATTTTTAATTGGTTTTCTCTTACTTGAAGCCAAAGTTTTCTAGCAGACAAAAAGAACTTTTACTGCCTTGCTAAACCAATTTAGATTGTAGTTTTGGGAAAAACATGTTTATGCATTTGTTCAATAAACAAGTGATAAAACAGCTTTTGTGTGAGGAACACTGTGCTATGTGAAAGGAAGACATGCAAGAAGAATAAGAAAAAGCGTTTATAATCCAGGAGGGAATATAAAATGAGCACCCAACTAAATATAGGCAAGAAACGATGGTGGTTTAGACTACAGTGCTGTCGCTGCTGGAGACTGAGATGGGGATTTAGGGGGATTGGTGAAGGACTAGGTCTTCTGGGTTACTCTGTAACTACTGAAACACATCAGAGAGGATGTAACATAAAAAGCTTTTTATCTGCCAACACACTTGTTGGAGCTTTGCAGGAAAAGGCATCGTGGATGCTGTGGCTCGGCTCACTCAAATTCTAACCCAACCTCCTTCTAACGTCCCTTACTGCCGAGACTAAAAGCCAAAATCACATTTCCCAGCCCTACTTGCAGTTAGATTAGTGAAGGCGATTTGGAATGTACCGGTCGAATCCATTCACGCAAGGCATGAACTGGGAAATGAGGTAATAGAGGAGAAGCAGGATCAGAGGCATACGTTTTGCCGCTGTGACCTGTGGCAGGAGGGGTGTGGTTCGGGCAGTCCTGCTGAGCCCTTCTGGTTTGACAGGCGGCCTCCTGATGGTGGCAGGAGTGACAGTAATCTTAGCAGCCCAGTTGGGCAATGGCTGCTACCTAAATGCTTCATACGTGTGGGCTGTAAATATTATACTTAATATTTACCAAAAAGAAGGCTACACGATGTCTGTGTACTATGAAGAGAGTCCCTAAAGGATAATAGAATGATCAGCCTGACTTTCGAGCTAGTTTAGTCCTGAAGGAAATATGTTTCATGGTTCATCGTATGTGATATTAGTGTCCCTATACTCTTTTTATGTTCCTTTCTTACAAGTAGCCTGTGCTCCCACAGTATAATGTGCTAAAAAACTGGCTCTGTCAAATGCCTAAAGAAAGCTAGACTGTTGTCATTAAAGATGAGCGTCTTCCTCTAGAACATCCCAGAAATGTTAAACATCTGATGAAAGATGCTATGTGAGAGTGAGAATGAACTGTGACCTTTCGTTGCACTGATAGTATCTGCTTCCACTAAGCAGGAACTCTGTCTAAACCAGGAAGCCTAACAGCGGTGCAACTCCTGAGACAAGGATAACTTGACTGCGATAAGAATTTTTGATCAGCAAGTTAAAAATGTCAACAAAGACATGCAGGAAGTGACTCTTTGCTCCCAATTCCCCAAATAATTTCACCCTTCTCTAAATACATTTTTGGTACCCCTCTCAGCACGTTTTCTATTTTTTAGCTTGTATAGGAGCTATTTATATCCATTTCTGATCTGCCCAATATATGAAACTGTAAAAGTACTGAGGGCAGGGACACGCGCTGATTCATCTTTGGATCTCTTAAAGTGTCTGCTAAGAATGGATCCTTTTAAAAAGGAGCCCGTCAATCTATATTTAGTAGAGGAACTGGTGAATTCTTGTGCAGCCCTTAGTCATGAGGACTAATACTTTTGTGAAAGGATGCTGACAAGGTGTTCCTATGCGACTAAGCACTTTGATTCATATTCCAGATGAAGGGGAAAGAAAAATGGGTACAGGATGGGGAGGGTTTTATCCTCGGCTCAGACAAGTGTTTCCTCCACCCCCCATTCATAGTGGCAGTGGCAAAAAGAGGACACATTAAGGGGGTAGGAGGCCTGCGTCTAACCACTCAGGGGCTATATGATCGCAGAGAAGATGCTGGAACGCACTCTCTCCACCTGCCTCATAAAAGGGATCGATGAGGTGATGAACTATATAGTTCCTTCTCATTACATTTGTCTTGTAGCCACCGTTCTAGAAGATTGAAGCTCTAATCGTATGATGATTTAAGATCTTAATCTTAAAGTGGCTTTAAGTTCATATAGCCCCAGCATGGTAATTCTGTATCACCTACATGTGGATACCGATCTATCAGTAATAGCTTCCTTTTTTTTTTTTTTTTTTAAGATTTTATTTATTTGACGGAGAGACAGAGAGAGAGCACAAGCAGGGGGAGCAGCAGAGGGAGAAGGAGAAGCAGGCTCCCCGCTGAGCAGGGGGTGTGATGTGGGGTTCGGTCCCAGGATCCTGGGATCATGACCTGAGCTGAAGGCGGACGCTTAACCCACTGAGCCACCCAGGCGCCCCCAGTAATAGCTTCTTAAAACACTGTGTTGAGAAGGATTCTGAGGCCCTGTTTGGACTCAGTAGGAAAGACAGCCTTGACTTAATAGTGATGGCTGGCATGAGGCAGGGAGGGGAGCGGCAGCAAATAAGCCAAGCTATGTCACCCCTGATCTCGTCCAATGCCTTCACTTCACACGAAGAAAATGAGAAAATAGAGAAAGGTGCTCTCAGAATCAGGAAGTGGTCATGACGGGACAGGAACCCAGGTAGTCTGCTTCTAGAGGCCTCTGGAGTTCCCCACCGTGACATTCTATTACCATCAGCTTCCTTTACCATCAAAAACATGTACACTTGAGAAACATCTGCTTACCTATTACGAATTTCGGAAGCTTAGAACATTCAGCCAACTCTGAACAATTCCCACCGTGATGGGTATGTCTCCAAAGATAAAAAGTATTTGTTCAACAGTTCAAAGAGGGTTTTCAGAAACTCGTACTATAGAACCACTGATCTCCACCAGAGTAGACATTCAGGTCCTTGCTTTAAAATAAAACTCTGAGGAGAAAGCTAATTTAGGACATTAATGAGATTTTTCAAGAATAATGAGCTCTGCATGGGATTCAACTTTAATTTTTTTTTCCTTTCGTTTTTAGGAGCTGGTGAGCCTGGAAGCTTATTTAGGAGAAGAGGAAATGAAACTATGAAAAGGCACAGTACAATTCCTTTTTTTCTTGGAGGCAAGGCACAATATGCATATGAATTAACTCTCTCATCCTGTCAAATTAACTGCCTCAAGTACACATAGAAAAAACAAATAGACACACTTGGTTATTTGGAAGAAACAGAAGAAAAAGCCAAGAACGGTTTGCTAGTTTCAACAATAAAGTCCTATGCAAATAACTTCCTTTAGGATTTAAGGCTTGTCTCCTGCAGAAACAAAACAAAACAAAACAAAAACACAACAAACCAAACAATGCTAATGAAAGAGGGTGAAGAGTGGGAGGTGGAGAGTGGAAATGAAAAAAAGAAAGAAAAAAGGGCTTGTAGGAAGGCGAGGAAAGAGCGAGCTTCTCTCCCAGAGAGGAATTACCGAAACATGGAGGAAGGGTTGGGAAAACAAAGTCTGAGCTGCTCAGGCATTCCGGGCTGGGCGTGGGCAAGGTGCTTCCTTGAATTCATTATGAGCGGTCCGGACGCCTGCCAGACATGCTCGTCCACCTGGCCTTCCTCGGGTGCGGGGCGATGACTGAGGAATTTCCGAGTCTTTAGATTTTAGATCTTCTCCACTAAGGTTCTCCGTGTGTACGACGCGGGCAGCATTCGGCGAGTTCATTCTGCAGCGTGTCCGGATCCCCCGGCCCTCGCTCGCCGCCGGCCGGATCCCAAACTGACAGTCCCAGACATTCCGCGACAGGGATGGTTCCAGAAAGCGGAAAACGGAGCGCAATGAATGAAATGTGAATAGTGGGGCTCCGGCAAGAGACTTAGAAACCTCAGTGTGGGGTCAGTTGGGAGACTGGAAACGCGTCCAGTGCCACAAGTGATATGTGGCGCTGAATTTAACATTTTGGAGTCTCTCTTCTGCGTGGGGCCCCAAGCCCGGCGAGCCACACTTCGTTGTTCAGCTCGGTCAGGTAGGTTAGCTGGGTCTTCGGGGAGGTTAAATACCTTGCATTTTCCATTTCCTTTGCCTGGAACGCTCTTCCTGAGACTGAGGTGTGACAGCTTCCTCCCCTGGTTCAGGAACAGGCAGAAAAGCCACCTCCGCCAAGAGGCCGACAGGGCACTTCGCAGCTCCCGATGCCTACTTAAGAAAACTCCGCATAGCAATTACCCCGGTGTTCATAGATCATCCGTATTTACTCGTTTGTTTATATATTTGTATATGTTCTTGTTTATGGTGTGCTTCCCATTAAAACCTCAGCTCCTGGAGAACAGGAACCTGCTGTGCCATTATCACTGGAGCGAGTCCACATCTGCTCCAGGCGCACACAGTAGGCGCTCAGTAAATGTTAATTCCCTTTCCACCCAGCCATCTGCGGCACTCGACACATCTGCAGTCTCCGAACTGGCCCAGGGGCTCAGTTGCTGCGTTCTTGGTAGGATCAAAGGAGGCGGAGGAGCGAGTGGGCAGTTAAGTCGGGGACACTTCCTTGTCTATCAGGGAGCTCCGGCATGTTGTTAACTATGATGCTCTTTCTCCCTTCCCTCTTGCACATGAACAGCATAGAACAAAACGACCACACTCCCCTCAGTCTTCTCCTGGGACCCCGGCACGAATCTGAACCCACTCTCTCTGGATGTTAGGGTCACAGTCTTGGGCGGGTGTCCCACGCCGAATCTGTCCTTCGTCATCCGATGCCTGCAACCCTCCCTTCACTACGTTTTTTTCTCCTCCGTTCTCAATCCCTTTGCCTCTGACTTCCTCAAGAGGTCGAGTCCTCTGCCTGTTCGCACGTGTGTCTCCTGGAACCGTCTCCTTAAACCAGCCCCTCCCGCGCCGCCCTCACTTCTCCCTGTTCTCCCTCTCTTCCCTCCTTCACCGGCCTGGAAACGCCACTCGAGGAACACTTATTGAGCGCCTTCGCGACGCTGCTGCAGCTCTCCTCTCCCTCCTCCCTTCCCACCTGCCGGGAACCCCGGTCCCCACCGCCCAGACTGCGTCATGGAGTCCGCTCGCTCCTTGCAAGTACATCGCTCCACCTTCTTCCTCGGGGTCGACTCCTGATTGGTGGGAGTGTGGTCACTCAGCCGCCCTCCCCGCCCCGCTGGTGTGGCTCCGCCCCCAGGGCGGCCACAGGCTCCTCCTCCCCGTTCCGCCCCTTGCGCGGCTTCTCCCGCTAATCTACTGGCGGCGCGTGGAGAAGTTCTGGGCAAAGTACCGGGAACTGGCCGCGCGACTGCAGCGCCAGCGAGCCAGGCAGGGCAGTGCAGGGGACCCCAGCGCAAGGCGGCCAGTGCGCGGCGCGGGCTCGGGCCTCGCTGGCCTTCGGCGAGTGGCCGTCCCCGCCTCGGGCTCCTGCGGCTGGCACGGGAACTGTCGGCTGCGCGTTGCGGGAGGACCGGAGAAGCGGGCTTTGCCGCCTCCCGGGTGTGTGGACGAAGCCCGGAGCCGCACACCGGAGAAGTAGGAGCGTGCAGGTAAGCGCTGGGACGCCCGCCAGAATGGTTCTGGGGTGGTGGGGGCCAGAGGCGGTGCGGGCTCGCAAGGGCTGCGGTTTGGGGGGCGCCACCAGTCACCGTAGGACCAGAGTCTGTGTCCTGTCGCCCAGGGAAGAACCGGCTGGTGGGGCAGCCCCGAGCAGGGGAGATTGCGGTCGCGGCCCGCGCCAGGCTCGGCGGAGGTAGGGCCGCGGTGCTGCTCTGAAGGGGACGCCTTGGCCGGGATTGGCGGCGAGGAGGCGCCGCGCGCGGGGGCCTGGGTCCGGGCGCCGGAGGATTGGGCGCGGAGAGGCTGTCCTGGGCAGCCGAGAGGCGCGGCCCCGGGGCGGGAGGCGCAGGAAACCTGTGTAAGTGGGCCGAGCGCGAGGCTTTACCACATCCGCGGGATGGGGCGTGCTGGGGGGACCCGGGCGACGCTGGCCGTGCAGGCGCCCGGCTCGCCTGCGTCCCCTGGCTCGGTTTGCCCCACTCGCGGTTTTCCCCGCCAGGGGCATACGCCCCTTGGGCGTCCCAGCGCCCTGGGAAACGTTTGCAGCTTCTAGAGTCCCTGAAGGGCGTTTTGGTAGATCGTCCAGATATTTATTTCTTACCGGAGCAAGCCGCCCTCCTTCGTTAATGCAACTTTCCGGCCACCTTCGGCACACTTGTACTCGTCTTCCTCCGTCTCACAAAGTACCAGTCTCAGTCGGGACCCTGAGCCGAGGGGGCTCTGAAGTCGTCGGTTTTGACGTGTCTGGGAACTGTGCTAAGGTGCATCAGAAGTCCCCTCCCCCCTCCCCCCTAGATGTTGCACTGACCCTCACAGTTTGAGAACTGGGTTGGGCGTTTATAAATATTTTAAGCTGCAGCTGCAGAAGAGATCCTAACACAGGTAAAAATGTAGGTCTGACTTCTGATCATCCACACTCTACGTCTGAGCATCTTACAAGATGAGGTTCCCCTTCTGGCCAAAGGACACCAGTCAGGCAGGCTTGGGCTGAAATACACCCTAGCTAAATGACCATTTCCGCACCGCCCCCCCCCCCCCCCCCCCCGCAACTTGCTGGCACTCCACTCTGATGTTCCTCATAGCACTCTCTCTCTGAAATTATCTCCTTGGGCTGTTTACTATCTGTCTTCCCCCACTAGAATGGAAGTTCCAGGAAAGCAGAGACCTTATCTGTCTTGTTCATCACTCCATCCCCAAAGTCAACAACAGTGCCTGACACACAGTAGGTCTGTAAGAAAAAATTATGGAATAAATGAATAAAAACTCTGTAAAATATGAAGAATGGTGGTTTCATACCTGGTTTTGATTTTCATGCTTATTTATCCGTTTTTTTTTTCTACTGGGAAAATTAATAAATACCAATAACTACTATAGATTGAGTACCTACTAAGAACTGGATATGTGCTATAACTTTATATAGATTACCTCATTAAACATTATCATAGTCCTATTAGCTAGGTATTTCTAAGCAGATGGGAAGTTGAGGCTCTAGCAGCTTAACCAATTTCCCCAAGATTATCCTGGCAGAACTAAAATTCTAGTTCATTTTCTGTTGTGCTGGACCACTTCCAAGAAACTAAAATGTGGTTTTCACTATTACAATCAATAGATGTTTAGCTTTATTTGTAATAAAAACTATTGCTTAGTCAAAAGAATATTTGGTGCTTTATCATTATTGAGATACAGTTTCAGTACTAGCTAATAGTTACATTGTAGGACAGATACTACCAGGCTGCCAAAGGTTGCATTATCTCATTTAATCTTCACCATTTTATAGGCAGTGTCTTGAGGTTCATTTTTCTTATCAAGAAACTGCAGCCTAGGTTCAAGAACTTGCCCCCGGTCAATGGTAAATTGCTGAGCTTGATTTTTGTTAATAGTTCTTTCTGACTCTGAATCTTCAGCTCCTTCCACGACACGGAAATCTCTCCTGCTCTCACTATTTAATTAGTTAACTTATGATAGAGTCCAGTGATACAATACATTAAAAGCACGTGAGGATGGGCGTAAACTTATCGCAGCTAGTATCAAGCGTCTAGTTGTCCTATTTTCTGAATTGTTGAGACTCTTTTTTTTTTTTTAAAGGTTTTATTTATTTATTTGACAGAGAGAGACACAGTGAGAGAGGGAACACAAGCAGTGGGAGTGGGAGAGGGAGAAGCAGGCTTCCCGCAGAGCAGAATCAATGACCATTGATCAAGACCGGAGCTGAAGGCAGACGCTTAATGACTGAGCCACCCAGGCTCCCCTGTATTGTTGAGACTCTTACTGCCATTGATTTTCGTGGTTGAGTTTATGGTTTGTGGGCTTGGTAGATGGGAGACTTTTATTTATTTATTTTATTTTTATTTTTATTTTTTAAGATTTTTATTTATTTATTTGACAGAGGGAGAGAGTGACAGGAAAGAGGGAACACAAGCAGGTGGAATGGGAGAGGGAGAAGCAGGCTCCCCGCTGAGCAGGGAGCCTGATGTGGGGCTCCATCCCAGGACCCTGGGATCATGACCTGAGCTGAAGACAGACGCTTAACGATTGAGCCACCCAGGCACCCCGATGGGGGACTTTTAATAAGGAGCAAAGGAAATTCTTTCACTTAAATTGAAACTTTCACCTAATCTAGAGAGAAATCGGATGGGTTTTACCCACTGTGGTAAATGAATTCTGAACACCGTAATGCTGTATGCCTCTTAAGGAAAGTGCTGGAAAGCCAGCTAGTTTCTGTTTCCATAAAAAAAAAAAAAGAAAAGAAAAGAAACCACGGCTAATTCTAAACGCTTCTGCAGCAACCCTTTAGTAAAATAACTACATTTCAGCTCTTTGTATTCTTGTAGTGAAACTGAGGGCAAGGAGAAGTTAAATAAGCGTCTCATGGTTACCACCTAAAGGGCTAGTAGCAAAAAAGGAGTGGAAAGGAATTTGAGATCCTTTTTTTCTACTTCCATTCCAGTTTTAGGAGGTAGTATAAGGTTTTCCCCTTACTTGAGGGTCTGAATAATCCAGTTTTATTTATAATGTGCTTCTGGGAAGTACGATGTTTTCTTAATTGTTAATTCCATTTCAGGAGTACTCCAGGGAGTGTTGGGGAGTCCTCCAACCTAGAATACCCACAGAAGTAATGGGGGTGTGCACACAAAGGAAGATGGAAGCTGTTCAGTTGAAAGAGGCTTCCATGCATAATTGAGACTTGTTTGTAGTTCCTGTGAATTTCTTTTCTGTCTACATCTTATTCATCAGCTTCTTAGCCCTCTCTTCTGGAAAATTCCCTCTTGAGTTCCCAATCACTAGTGTTCAGGCCATGTTCATGCTTACCCAGGTCTTGGCTTTCTCCTCCTCAGCACCTTTCACATCAATTCTTTCCTGTTGCCCCCGCAACCATGTTTGCTCAGGGGTCTTAGGGACTTCTGCACTCTGTCCTAACATTACTTATAGGTGGACATTCCTCCCTCAGGCTCTCCTGCATAGCACAGTCAGGTGAATTCTTTAAGTGCTGTCATGGTATTGCTCAAAATTCCTGAGTGGCTTATATAGTTAGTAATAATGAAACTAATAAGGGCGCCTGGGTGGCTCAGATGGTTAAGTGTCTGCCTTCGGCTCAGGTCATGATCCCAGGGTCCTGGGATCGAGTCCCACATCGGGCTCCCGGCTCGGCGGAGAGCCTGCTTCTCCCTCTGACCCTCTCCCCTCTCATGCTGTTTCTCTCTCGCTCACTCTCTAAAAAATAAATAAATAAAATCTTTAAAAAAAAAAATAATGAAACTAATAACAGCAGCAGCTGCTGAACTTCTTGTGCTGTACTGTCCTATGTGCTGTAGATGAGTTATTGCCTTTAATCCTCAGAGTGACTCCAGAGTAGGCACTGTTATTATTGTTTTTTAAAAGATTTTATTTATTTATGAGAGAGAGAGAGAGAGAGAAAGGAAGAAATCATGTCCAACACATGGGAGGGCCAGAGGGAGAGGGACAAGCAGACTCCCCCGGCGAGCCTGATGTGAGACTCGATCCCAGGACCCCGGTATCATGACCTGAGCGGAAGGCAGGTGCTTAACCAACTGAGCCACCCAGGCGCCCTGAGTAGGCACTGTTTTTATACCTCCAGGTGAGGGTAGGAAAAGTTGTACTCCAGATGAGGCTGCTTTACAGCTAATACTAGATGGATCTGAGACTGAAACCCCGGGTCCTTTCTGTCCCCATTTAAGCCTAGAGTCCTTAGCCTAGAATCAGGATCTGGCAGCCTGGGCTCAGAGCCCACCTTCACCCTTCATTCCCCAACCCTGTGCACAGGCAACCTGAACTTTCTTCAGCAATGAAGCATTTTGCCTTTGCCCCTACACTCCTGTTGCCTAGAAGGCTCTTTCATAGTCTCTCACTGTGAAAAACCCAAGTCTTTCAAGGCTAAACTCATGAGCCACTTCTCACAGAATAATCTCTTTGAACTCAATCTCTTATAGCATTTAAAAAAAAAAAAAAATGAGAGTCCCCAGTTCAGTTTCTGACCATTGAGTATGTGGGTTTCTTTCTTTCCTTTAGCACTTTGTTTCTTTCATTCCTCCCTCCATTCTCAACCAATTCCCCCACCCCAGTGCCTCCTGGCTTGTTATCTATTCAGATGTATTGTCTCCCTTACTAGATTGTAAATGCCTTGAAAGCAGGGCTAATATCCATTCCTCATGTTTCTATCCCTCAGACCACTAAGCGTGGTATATCCATAGTAGGATTCTCTTTTTAATCTCTCAATTAAAAAGAGAATTTGAAACAATCATATTTGGTTATATTCTGTTAAAATATTCTGTGAAAAAAGTCATTGGAATGTAGCATTTTGTTTCCCACTTTTTGATCCACAATACTGTAATGCCTTCATCAATTTGGGATGAAGTAAAAGAAATACCAGTTATTGAAATCCATGGAAAGTACCCATTCTGGTTGTTTTCACCTTGGATATATTGCAAAGAGATCTCAGACCCGGTCACAAAACAAACATTGTCTGTAGAAT